AATTCGTCGGGAGAAAAAAAAATCATATGTATTTTCTACATATTAGTAGACTCTAAAATTGATTAAATGAACATTTGAAACTCTGAAATTGTAACAATTTTTGGGGGCTTCGCCCCCCCCCCCCACCTCGACCGCTTTAGAAACCTTTTAATCGAAGCTCGACCACGCTTTCGTCGGGGAAATCTGAGCCCTCGCCGGGAGCATCGTCCCCCCCACCCCCAGTCGGGCAAATCCTGGTGCCACCCCTGGACCATAGGGGACTAAACTAATTCCTCCATGCTCGGACTGAACTTGATGAGGCCATTCCTCCATGATCATATCCAATCTATTTAATAATGAGCCTGTATGTGCAGTACTTAGCCTAGACTTTGTTGGGCAACATTCTTCCACAATGAACAATCATCTTCATTCCTCAACCTAGGAGGCCTATACAAGTCAAAAACGATGTGGAACAAGACACCTCCTTCACAACAAACAGCAATTCTATCCCTGAACTTATGCCAGTCATAAAAAAGGAATATGAATTACACACCAATCCTATCCCCGAACCTATACCAGACAAAAAAGAGTGACAGTGGCGGATCCAGGAATTCAAAATAGAGGGGGCCCAGGGAGGTACTACTTTCACAGATGGAGGCTCCTATGGCAGGAAATTGCACTCTCAGACTTAAAATTTGAATATAATTTTCTTTATTTTTCCATTTAAAAAATTGTGAACAATTCAGGAGTGTGGGGTGTGGGGGGGGGGCAGCTGGGGCCCTTCCTTGAATCCGCCACTGGTAGAATATTATTTACTGAATTAAAGCATTAACAGAACGAGAAGGCCTACCTCAGATCCATGTGAAAGTACACCATTTGCAGAACCTACAAAAGATCACATTTACAGCTTTCTTTCAGTTATCCTTACCGACGTATACAACGTTATGGTTATATGATTGATGATAATGTATTCTACCATTGTATTACAATTCTAGAAAATACCATTCCTAATTATGATACAACTTTTAGTTTTATTGAACTTGCAGAAATGGCAATTGCTTCAATGTGCCTTGCAGTCAAGTCTTCCGACAGATATCAGGCATGTCACATCATCTCATGCTTGTGAATGCATTCAGGTTGTATACCTTGAACCAAAAGCAATTGCCGAAGCATGGCAGAGGCTAAAATACTAAAGATTCTAAACTTTAAGCTTAATACAATAACCTGTAAGGGTTTCGTACATGTACGATGCGACATAGTAATCTGTAAGACTGACAATATTTGTTATTATTTTATTTCAACCATCTTTAAAGATGGTCCTTCCAGTTTAGCCCAGTAGGCAGTGGCGTCAAGAGCCAGTAAGGGTCCCGGGGCAACACCTCACATGCCCCCCCCTTTCACTTGGGACCCCCACTCGGCCGCTCCCCAACTTAAGTCTCCTCCTAAATCTGACAGCAAATGTTTTCATCCTGGCTTGGGCTCGAGCCCTATGGAGATTTTGTTCTTACCCCGAAAATGTTTCATCTTGGTCCGGGCCCCCAGTAGACCCGGGCCCCGGAGCAGCGACCCCTGACCCCCCTCTCGATGCTACTGCCAAAAGGTTAATTGATATTCAGGGGCCCTCTTTAATAAAATTTAAAAAACAGTACAAACAACATCATTACAACATAATAATAATAATAATAATAATAATAATAATAATAATAATAATAATAATAATAATAATAATAATAATATAATATAATATAATATAATATAATATAATATAATATAATATAATATAATATAGAATAAAATCAAACAATGAAATATCTCAATAAAACAGCAATAAACAAATGCTGTTTAAAATATATCGTTTTAACTTAAGTTTAAATGTATTTTCTCCCTTTACAGCCCCGGAGCTCAATTGGTAAATTATTATAAAAGTTGGAACAAAGATAACTAATATATTAGGCCTATGTTATAAAAAGGTTATAGATTTAATATGACGCAAAGCTATGAGAAACCAGTCATTCAGCCCCAACGATGACATTTCGGAGCTTGCACACCACTTATTAGCAAATTGAGTTTAACTCTGACTTTCTCTTTCCTGACATTTGTAAAATCTAAGACCTAGGCGTACAGTAATATGTTGGTATTTAAAGAACCTTAGTTTCACAGTTAATAGATAGTAAGTACACATTAATTAAGTTGAAAGAAAAAGGGACGGTAAGTTGGCCTCAAATTACGGATAAAATATTATTCGTAAATAATCTTTATGGTGGCGTGAGACATCAATGAAAATAGTTTAAAGCTTTCTACAAAATATGCGACAAGGACTATGTAATTTAACTTAACTTAATAACAATAATAACAACGCTACAGCTGTACGGTACTCTTATAGCTCATATGTTTTTTTGCAATAATTAATTCAGGCAAAATATAAAGTCATTGATAACTGTAAAACAAATTAGCTCACAGGGTGTGTATTCAGCGTTTGCACTTCTAGATATGAGGGTACCGTACGTAAAATGCGTTGACCATAAACAACCATGTGGCTAATTAAACCTACTTTTTGTGAATCGAATCGTTTTAAAATACGAATAATAAGAATGGAAGCAATACAATAAATTAATATCGACCTCCTTAAAAGTTTACATTGGTAAACTTGAATATGAATCCCTATGCTTATTATTATGCCTAATTATTAATAATACGGTAGCATGTTTTAACAAACAACATATTAAAACCCTATTGAGAACCATGTGCCACAAAATGTGATAAGAGTAATTTTGCCAAAAAAAACACTAAACTCTAAAATTTGAAGAAAAAAATAATGCTGACCATTAGGCATTCATAAAAGTGTAATATATTGTGAATATTGGTACGTATTATACAATAATAGGCTTAAATAAATTATTTTAGGACTAAGAAATAGCAAGTCATAATATAAAAAATAATAGTAATGTTAATAATAATAATAATAATAATAATAATAATAATAATAACAGGGCCTACTACTACTAATAATAATAATAAATAATAATAATAATAACAATAATAATAAATATTGTATAAAATTAAATTTGTCTAATATTATTCTATTGTATATAATTGTGACAAGACATTTTAACAATGAATCATGACAATATAAAAATAGGCTGTAAAATATGAAAACAAAGTAATTCCAGCATGACGCCGGAGATGCTACCCCAACGTGGTAGACTGATGTCAATATCATTTGGTAACCATGTTATCCTCATGGTACCAATGATGACTAACAGCATCACGTTATTGCAGTCTGAAGTCGGAGATGCTACCTCAACGTGGTAGACTGGTGTCAACATCACTTGGTAACCATGTTATCCTCATGGTACCAATGTTGTCTAACAGCATCACGTTTTAACATCACACTATCATCATGATCATCATCATCATCATGATCATCATCATCATCATCATCATCATCATCATCATCATCATTATCATCATCATCATCATCATCATCATTATCATCATCATTATCATCATCATCATCATAATCAAATATGCTGCAAGATCCTGAATATGCATACTAGAGGAAAAGACATTTATAAACAATAAAAATAATATTGGTTCTAACACACTCCTTGTGATGCCTATTTACAATGGCTTTATCCGATATCCGATATTTTATTATGACATTTTACTTCTAATTTTCGTTGTATCAGTTAACTTTTGAAGTGCTTAATATAAAGTTATACATTTAGAAGAAGGGTGTGGTCAGTAGAGTCGAGGCATTTAGAAATGTCAATGAATCAGGATCCAATTTCGATTTTTATCCAAATATTTATATCACAATGAAGGCATGTGACGGTGTGAAGTAATTTTTCTTTAAGCATTATTGGTTTTTTTATGATACAATTTAGGAAATATGGCGTACCACAATGGCATGTGACAGTCCATAATACGTCACCAATGGACAGATTTATGCCTATATCGCATTAAACGATTTTATATTATTCATTATTAACAATGACAGCCAATAGATTGTATGATCGGCTAAAAGAATCGAATGAAATCCGATGAAGATTTCAGCTTCTAGTGGAGTCCGGCTGTGGAACATTTTGGGTCGGGGTAAGATTGCATAAAAAAGTGTCATGGTGGGTTAGGGGCATTCGTGAGTTAAAAAAACATGGTATTGCATTGCTAGATTTGGGTACGGTATCTTCTATTGGGCCATACTGTCAAAGATAATGTTAGAAGAGTGTTATTTATTAGCAGGAGGGTTCTCCAAGGGCTCTTTGGACTGGGGGCCTGGGCTATCGCCCCCAGAGCTGGCTGGCGTTATGCCACTCTGACTGTACATCCACTGCTAACCAAGAATGAAGCTGTCACAATGTTCTAGACGAATTGTAAATAAGGAAGTCCTGGGCAGTGGGTGGGGTCCATGGGCAACGCCCGCTACTTCTAGCCTTTTAAGTCGTGTTTAATTGATTTTAAGGAATACACACAGTTATTTCCTTGTCCCCCTGTCCACCCGCTGGCGCCGCCACTGCTTGTGGTAGTGCAGAAGGCCGTCCGGATTTCCAAGAGACTCCAGGAACTTCAGAGAGTCTTGGAATCCATATTTTATCTGTATTCCTAATATTTACTATGTTAAAGTAATTTCTCGTATGAATGCAATGGAATAATCACGATACAAATAATGTAATAATGTATAGGGCTAATCCACACTAAATGTGTAATTCAACGAAGATTGTTTATTAGTAATATTTATTTTTCGGTTGGTTTTGATAATGTTTCTAATGTTGTCTTTATTTTTTAGTTTGCCAGATTTTACCACATACTTGCAATGATAATAGTACAGTACTGTAATATCAATAATATATAATTAGGTATTTATCAAACGCCAAAATCTACCGAACTGGAATATCAAGGCTCTGTGCATGTTTATTTATTTATACAAAAGAGGTGTTGATTAAGGGCAAGAACTCAGGGTCTGATATTGGTTTAGTGGAGTGACGTTTAGCGATTTCGAAAGGACGCCCCCAATACTTTGTAAACAAATACAGAGTGCCTACATTGCATGTTGCATTTACAATTTAGACATTAAATTGTCGATTATGAATACGAAGTTTTAAAATAGACAATAGTTTAGATAATATACTGAGTACTGAGCGTTAGAACCTTCCCGTTTTTACCGTATTTATACTCTAACAAATGTGGCTTTTAGGCTAGGCCTGGCCGTCCCAGGTCTGACTGTGTGCTTTAATATAAGTTGAGTACAGTAACTTGAAATAGGCGCTGCTAGTGCTAAATGACAGTTCATGGAGAATTTGTTGATGTTGGCGAATCTGTGTTTTTTTGGCATCGATAGTCGTGTACATCTAAAACCTGGCCTAGGCCTACACATGGATTAAAGTTGGAAGGGTAAATTATAATTTCAGTTTATTGTTGAATGCAGTTAAAAGGATGAATTGTATTAAAACCAATAAGTAGCTAGGCTAGGCCCAAGCCAAGCCTTCTGCTGTCACTGTCAGGCCTAGGCAAGCTCAGCGCGTACGATCAGTCAATTCGTACAGAGGTTTCTTGTTCGGTCTAGGCTAAGCCATGCACAGTTAGCCATGCATAGTTGCGTCAGACTAACTGACATGAAACATCATAACAAGCAATAGATTGTTAAGAATATCTGTGTAGGTTAGGCACATGTCTTAGGGAAGGGAGGATAGCCTAGGCCATAGCATCCCCAGGGTAGCGGTACTAGGGCCTAAGCCTATGGGTGTCGGTCAATCCGTACCCAAACCAACCCGTACCCATACCAACCCGTCGTATCCACTTTAGTCAAACCGTACCCAAATTTAAGTCAATCCGTACCCACGTCATTTTGATCAACCCGTACCCAAAATATATTTGTATCTGTACGATCTCGTGCGGTCTGTAAGATTGTCGTTGCCGCTAATATTATTAAGGTAAGTTTTCTCTCTGGGCCTTTTTTTATCTTTTCTCATAATTTTCAATTTTATTTTAATTAATTTTCTCTGGTTTTAATTTTTTCTTTCTCTTTTCTTTTGTCCATGGGTCTATTCTTTATTTCTTTATTATATATTTAGTTATTTTATATATATATATATATATATATATATATTCTTTATTATATTATTTATTATTTATATATATACATACATATATGCATACATATACATACGTACATACATACATATATATATACATTATATATTTATTATATATATAATATATATGTATTCTTTATTATATTATTTATATATATGATATATATGTATTCTTTATTATATTATTTATATATATATACATACATATATACATATATATATACATACATATATACACCCATACATATATACATACATACATACATACATACATACATATGTATGTATGATTTACAGCCGAGCACCTGATGATTGAGGCTGTGCCCTCATGAAACAGTCTGTAGTGCAAAATAAAATGTTGAGTTTGTAACCTAGTGTCTTTGATTACTTATCTATATTGCTCTACGTGTGTATTGAGC